GGAGGCGAGGGGCAGGTTGTTGGAGGGGGGGAGATAAGAAGTGTAGTCATGGGAGATGCTCAGTTACAGAAGAGACACTGGTGGTGAAACGGGTGGATTTTTTGGCATTTATGTGCCATATTCTTAATATGAGTGAACAGGTTAAGAAAAAGTCGGCACGGATTGAGATGGTTGTTAGGGCTGCTAAGGAGTTTATGGGGATTATGGAAGTAAAAGGGGAAATGTTACATGGGATGTTGGCACAGCCCAAGAGTGGGGATGTGGATATCAGTAGTAAATGATGTCACTGGTGCTGTTACAATGGAATGCAAGAAGCTTAGTAGCTAACGGGCAGGAGTTTAAGAGATATGTATATGGGTTAGATGTAGTGCCAAATGTAATTTGTGTGCAGGAAACGTAGCTAAAACCAATGCTAGAGTTTGCAATTCCAGGGTTTCATGCGGTAAGGAAGGATAGGATAGAGGGTGTAGGTGGGGGATGTGCAACGTTTGTTGAGGACGGACTGGCATACAGAGTAGTGGAGGTAAATGATGCAGAGTGTGTCGGGATAGAGGTGTGCAGGAATGAAGGCGGCATAGTGGTGTTACATTTTTATAACCCTTGTAAGCCTCAAAGTGCAGAGCAGCAAGATTTAATGGGTAGGTGTGGTGGGGGTGGAAAGATGATTTGGTGTGGGGACTTTAATGCACATAATGAGATATGGGGAAGTGGACACACGGATGGTAATGGGGCAGTGGTGGAGGAATATATGGAGGGTTGTGGGATGGTATGTGTTAATGAGGGGGGCGGTACTAGGGTAAATATAGGGAACAACGAAGCTAAACTGCACTGACACAAAGGAACTGAACTCGATCGCTTTCCTCAACTTTGTTGGGAGCAAGCGGGGACACGAAGACCGCTGCTGATTGTTAAAATCTATTATGCATTTGGACGTCTCGTCTGGCCGCCATGTTGAAGTGATGTCTCTCTCTTTCACCTGATCCAAAACCTCCCTCCATTACGTGCGTCACCTCTTCGTCATCTCGATGCGGTGATGCAGAAGGTTTCCCCACAGGCTGAACGGTACTCGAGTTTCGTCCGTGTCTCCAGATTCCAGAAAGCGGCCGTTTGGTCAGATGAGGGAATTTTTAGGAGTTTGCTCCAGTCGCCCCAAAAAGCTCATTGAAACTCTGGGATCTTTTAATAAGGAGCCACTGGTTATTTGTGTTGGATGACTTTTTACCTCCTTACGTACTGAATGATTATTTTTACTAATAATGCATGAGAAAAGGATTTGAAGTAATAGGTACTGAACCTTATGGATGTATGTATTTATTTATTTATTGACTTAGTTTAGCATGAACGATCACACACACAATACTGCTGTTTGCTTATTGTTCTTAAATATCAGCTCAGATCTGGATGATTAAAGCCATTTTCTGTTGCCTTTTCAGCAATATTTATGGGGAAAGATATTTATAACATTCTGCTCTTGACATTTCCCTTTGTGTGTATTTTTTCAATGCAGTTTCTCTTGTTACTCCAGCAGATAAAGTAGCGTCGTGTTAGAAAGCCGCCAAAGCATCACTTCTTACTCCCACCCATCTACTTTACTCTACTTTGTGTTTCCCAGTTTGCAAAGTCATCATTCGTTATCTTACGTTTTAAAATAAAAAGTCTGTCACTTCTCGTTTTTTTAATATTTGAATTTCTGTGTTGATTTTGTGACGTTTCCTTTTACGCTACATAAAGAGAACGAGTAAACACACGGGAGGTTGTTGAAAAGGATTTGCTCACATTTACTGAACCTTCTTCTCATCTCTGCTTGAGCAGCTCAAGGCTACATTAGCATTAGCATCTAATAGCACAACACCTCTCCAACAGAACTGTGAATGGTGAGGTTGCATTCTGGGTAATGTAGGCACAAGGAAATACCACCAGATAATAGGCCGCTTTGATTTTGATTCCACAACAAACATGTTCAGACATTAAGTCATTGGTTCGCTTTATTGACCCACAGCTGTGATTAAAACAACCCTCATAATGTAGAATGGGAGATAAATCTGCATTTTTTAATATTCAGAAAGATACACTTTCATCTGGTTAAATAATCCAGAGTTCCCATAGTAGCTTTGACAGCACAAACTACAGAAAAGCATCATTTACACGCTGAGCGATGAGTCTTTGCTGTGACCGATTCCCCTCGTCATCCTCAGCCACCTAATTGATGAAGGCAGAAGAGCTACAGGTGGGCAAACATAGGAGGTGCGTTGTTGAGCCTTTTAGTGCATCACTGCCCCCCAGTGGTGACTGCAGACGCTGCATCCCTCATGCATCCTCCCCCAACCATCAGCTCACTTTCTACTTCTTCCACGACTCATGTGGCTTCTGTGACTTTCTTCCACTGCCTGGAAATCAGAGCGTTTTGTCTGTGGCCTGAACTCAAACCTCTATGAGTTACACATGAAGAGGAGTTTAAGAGTTTAAAGCTTCTTAGCTGAGTCACATTTCTCTCTCTCAAAGTCAGGAAAGTGCAGAATGGGACTTATTTATCAATCGAGGCACCTTAAAGTAATCACATGTAGAAATAGGCTCCATGTTATGAATAACTCGGCGAAGGTGGATGATATAAAATGGTATTTTAGTGGATTTTATTGGAAAATCTGCAGTTTTTTTTGAGGATAAAAATCCCTTAATGGGAATTTAATGTTTTCAATTGAGTTCAGTTCTCCATAACAAAGCTGTGTTCAGTAACTAATAGATCATATTTAGATCTCTCAGTACGATAAAGGAGGATGGCAGGAGTTTGCTGATTAGTCTTAAAGCTTTTGATTTTTGCTTTCTTACAGACATCAGTTGCTAACATTCCCTTTGAAATGGATCCATTATTTTTGCAGCACTAAAAGTCTTCTGACATCTCCAGACGTCTGTAAGTATGCAGGAAAAATATACAATCTCAGGCAGAAAAGAGACAAACACTCCATGTGAGATTCTATTGATCCACTTTTACTGGAAAAAAAGTATTATAGGGATTTAAGGATGCAAGCAAAAGACTTTATGCTACTTCAGACTATATCTAACATTTAAAATGAATTTCAGTAGCACTCAGCAGACTGTAATTATAATATATAATAAGCAGCAACAAAAACAACCTCACAAACCTAAAACTGTTTGTCAGATAATCAAATGGCTCCATGAGATGAAGGGTTCTCGTGTCCCCGGGGGAAGTATCACGGCTCTATGCTACGCTAACGTATCGGGGAAAGAAAGATCAACGCTCTTTTTTTGGACTCTACCTCTCTGGATACGATGAAGAAACCTGCAAAGATCACATGATCCTTTTTAACCAGAACCTCATCCATCCAAAGCCGACTACAACAAGGGAAGAGGCTTCCACAGAACACCAAGCTGTCTGCTCTGTAGCTGTTTAAGGACACATCTTATATCCTGAAGAGATTGTTTTTCATGTCGGTGGTTTTGTCCACACGGACGTCTTTATTGATCTGAAAGAGAAACAAAGAAAAAAAACAATAACGGTTATTTAAGATGAGCTCATAGGTGCTTTATGACGTTTAATTATGTGAAATAATCTGCTTGATAAACGGCTTCATTACCAGATGTTCCTGGTTTGACTTCAGAATAAAGAGTTTCCTCTTCTGCTGCACATCTGGATTTTCCTACCAATGAAAAGATCTTATTTTTGCATGTTTGCCAGTAGTGCTCTAGTTTAAAAGAATAATGTACTGATATACGTCGTCCTCAGAGATGTAAAACCCAAAATAAGAAAAATAAATGTAAAAATGAAAAATAAATCTATTAAATGTGGCATCCCCCTTATGTTTGATTCACGACTGCACAGTATTGTCATCATTTCTAATTAACAAATAATTTAAATGACCAACAAATTTCAGTCTAAAGTCTGTTGTGTACTTTGTTGTGTACTTGTATGCAGGATGTGTATATTGTTGACATTGGCCACGTTGGACGACGTATGAACGTATTAAACTAGAGCAGGTAGCACCGGTTAAATACTAGAAGCTGTGTTGGCGTTGACTGTACCTGCAGCTGATGGGATCCTCACATCCGAGTAAACGGGGCTCTCGTCTGGTTCATCGTGCTTCTCTGTCACAAAGACCACATGAAGAACTTTGATGAGAAGAACAAAATCATCTCAGCTGTCAAAGGTGATTCTCACTATACAAAGTAAATCACCTACCCTTCTTTTTAAGGTGTTTGAGCTCAACCACAGAATACGGGAGGCTGGATTCATCTGAAATTATAAATCTTGTTTGATTCAAGACAGTTTGCATTGACTTTGAATCATCTGATTCTAGTATTTCTAACAGCTGTGTGATGAGGATTAAAGCTGACCAGGAAGAAGAGAAGCGTAATGTCCGTCTTGAGTTTCACCCTGGTTGATCATGTGGTCTGTAGCTGGGCTCTGATTGGTCCTCTGAGACCTTGTGGGTCCAAAACATGAAGTAAATACAGAGGATTTAATGAGGAACATGTAAAGTCCTGCTGCCATGTTCAGAGTGAGAGAAGAGAGGCTTGTACCAACCTGCTGAGGCTTGAAGCTGCAAGAAAAAGGTTTCACATTGATCATTAATTAGTGTGTGTAATAATATCTGTGACTTTGACTTATTTCAGTGAAATCAGTCTGATATCAGAAGGAAAAGATCTCACCTTCTGACTTTCTGTAGCGACGCAGAAACAGCAGCAGGAGAATAATCAGTAAAACTCCAGAAACCAGACCAACAACCAACGGCACGAGAAACACAGAGCTTGATGCTGCTTCTTCAGGATCTACACACAAGTACACACCAACCATGAAGAGATACACAAGTAACAATAATAATACAGTTTATTTATAACACACTCTTCATCAACAGATCTCAGAGTGTCACAGAGCCAGAAAAACATACTTAAAACAAAGTAAAAACACAGGTACTAATGTGTTGTAGTACCGTACTACACACAAGTACTATTATATATTACTAATATATTGTCTCACACAAACAAATAGTTTATCTTAAGATAACTTCTAATTCAGTGACACCTTTTCTCACTCAGACTGTAACACATGTTACAAAACTCGTACTCACATTTCACTGACAACCAGCTCTCTGCTGAGGTCAAAGTCTCCAAACCTTGAGGTGATTTCCTTCCTCTACATTTATAAAAGCCTTCATCTGACTTAGTAACTGCAGAGATAAGCAGCTCCCCTCTGACAGGATTTGGGAGGAGTTTGTCATTTTTATAGAAATCCACATTATAAAGAAGGTTTTCTGTCCTCAACTTGCAGCCAAGAGTGACGGAATGTCCCTCAGTCACAGGACGGACAGGACTCACCAGGATGACATCACCTCCTGTAAAGAGACCAGAGGACAGGAAGTCAAACAAGCTGATGAACAATGAGGAGAAGACATTTATAGTTTACATTTGTTATTCACATTCACACAGTAGCTGAGCGAATAGCTGCATTTCATGGATTAACTTGTTCCCAGTCGCGTCATAGAATGTATGTCTTACTTAAGAGACACACATTGCTTAAATACACTGGGAAGGTGCAGGTGATTGGACACCGGTGGAAACAATCAGGCACACGGCAGACAATCACAGGGGAAGACAGGAAACCACTAAATAAAACAGGAAACAAAGCCAAACGGTGACAGTCATCAGTCCGTCCAGTTCACACGCTGGTCTCAGGTGCCGTTGGTCTCTCTATCAATTTACCCTCAACCTGTCTGCATGTTTTTGTTTTCCTCTGCCCTTCAGCGTCAGACCCTCGTTGGACCACAGAATGCACCGTTATCAGTTCAGCGGACTCTGCTTAAGGTGTCAGACCTCTGCTCAATCCCTCCAGACCGCGAGATGTCGGTGGAGTTCCCTCCCGACTCCAGTA